AAAATTTAAAAAATATAGCCATCTTCCAAAATAAGAATTTCGAAAAGAATAGCTCAGGACAGGAAGTGATGCTATAAAAGTAAAATAAATGTATACAGGCATTGTATGATACTACCTCTCAATCCAGTGCAAAATAGCGTGGTCAAACATACCAGAATGCTGCTCTGACAAGCTGACACGTTTCAGGGGATGCACCCCATTCTTCAAGAATAAAAGAATAGAATGGAATAGAAAAAAATAGAATAGGTTGGAATAGAATAGAACAAAATAGAAAGAATATAGCTGTCTTCTGCAATTCAAATTTCAAATTTCGAATAGAATAAAATAGAAAGAATGTAGCCATCTTCAAAAATTTGAATTTCGAAATGAATAGCTCAGGACAGGAAGTGAAAAGAGCTGTAGCCGCACCACCCACACGGAGGAATGCGGGATCTGCAGCTGCTGGTTCCATTAATTCTAATGGCACGCCGCCTGCACTGGAAATCACAACCGTACTGGGAACATCAGTTCCCGTGAGGGCTGCGATCTCCCAAGTAGTGCAGGGACTTCTTCCCCGCATGTCCCGGGGCAAGGAAATCTATTCAAATGAATGGGCTCTCGTGCTCATGCCCACACAAATTGTGGCCCGCATGACCACACAGATGTGAACCAGGGCTTACCGAAGGTTTATTGTATAAAACAAAGCATACAGCAAAATGGAAACTCACAAAAATAAATGTATACAGGCATTGTATAACAGAATGCTGCTCTGGCAAGCTGACACATTTCAGGGGATGCACCCCCTTCTTCAAGAAGGGGGTGCATCCCCTGAAATGCATACCCTGAAATGCTGTACCCTCCCCCTAATGCCTTACCTTTCCCAATGTGGGGTTGCATCTGAAGCACTGGGACACATCAAAATTTTCATGTTTTTATGGGTCCTTTGTGATTGTTTCCAGGATGTATAAATGGAAGCTAAATGATCTGCATACATGTTAGATGGATAAAACATCTGCCTATGCAGTAATGATACAGTACCATATCTCTGATTACACTGGATACGTCTTTGGAATATATTTAAAAAATATATATTTTTTAAATATATTCTTCAGATTGTTTTTAACATATAAAAAAGTCATTTTCACATATATTTTACATATATTTGTAAATGCATTCCAGAAATGTAGATTTGTATTTTTAAAGACATACAGTGTAATTGAAATGTATTTTTAAAAATATTTTTCATATACTTTGTAATAAAAACTCATTTCAACATGCAGTGTATATATATATATATATATATATATATATATATATATATATATATATATATATAGAGAGAGAGAGAGAGAGAGAGAGAGAGAGAGAGAGATTTATTGAAATATACTGTAAAATATATTGAATATGGCCAAAATTGTACTGTAGTATTTCAAATATATGGCAATATATTTGGGAAGAATATTTTTAAAATATATTTCAAATATATATTTTTTCCATATGGGAAGCACCTGTCAAACACCTTGGAAAATCCACCCCTCCAAATGTCTGAACCAGGGGTGCTCACACTATGGCCATTGGGGCACATGTAACCCTTGGAGCCCTCTGATGTGGCCCTTAACCTCAAACCAGGGAAGTGCATACCCCAGGGTTGGCAACCCATTGATTGTGTCTGAGCTTGCCGACCTACCATCCCAGAGCATCAGAGCCAATGCTTCCTCTGTAGTGCCGGCTCCTGTCCCAGGCAGAGCGATACCAAGTGCACTTCACCTGGGACCTTCCTAGCAGCCTAGAGACGCAAGGCAATGCCAGCAGAAGCTGGAAAAGGTCAATGTATCAAACACATACACTGCACTTTTGCAATGGGCATATTAGCATCTATAAAAGGGTTAACAAATATTAGGCTGCTTTCACACTGATGTGCTGCGGTTTACCCACACTGCGCGTGCAACTCTGTGGCTTTCCTGCGGGTTAGCTGCACTGAATTATGGACTTCTATTACCGAGGGTTCTTCAAAACGTTTCTGCAATTTCATATATATAATCGAGTTAAAAAAGTCTGGAAACTTTGAAGAATAGCAGCCTTATAGGGGGCTCAGGACATTAAGGGCTTGTTGTGAGGTGACAGTAAATCCACGTAGTTGAGGCGTATTTACCACATCCCACCAGCCACTAGTGTAGTGTGAGAAGTTGCAATGGCCACCCCACTCCATACTCCAGGGGCAGGGCTGCTGTTAGAAACTACAGGGCCCCATAAAGCCAACCCCCTTCCAAACAAAAAAATATAGTTGTTTATGCTTCAGTTGTGAATGTACACAGTTTGTGATTGGTACCAATCACTCATTGTGTTTATTAAGGGAAGGAAGGGGCTGGTAAATGTGATGTATTTACCAGACCCTTTCCCCACTCTCCATCCTGAAATGTCTTACTGTGTGCTTACAGCTGCTGAAAGGAGAGGAGGGAAGCTGGCAGCACTGTGGAGGTGAGTACACAAAGGGGGCCTGGGCAGCGGGGGCAATTACTGGAACCGATCCCCTGTATGGCTTCCTGCAGCAGCTGAAAGTCAGTGGGAGGGAGAGGAGAAGAAGCCAAATTTCAGCTGCTGCAAAGGGAGTCATACAGGGTATAGGTTCCAGTAATTACCCCCTCCCACCATACCAACCACCCTCCCTGCCTACATCCAATTTACCCCATACATGAGGACTGGTGGTACCCCCTTATCCACGGTCCTGTCCAGGGGGCCTATGCAACCTCCCTGTCACTTTCTGTTATATACTTGGACAGGAGGGGACGTGGGGGAGGCATATACAAGAACCAGGGGCATATTTACCGCAAGGCAAAAAGTGCTTTATGTTTACAAAAACCTCAGTCTAGAAGATTCCCCCATTGATCTGTTGGGACTGGGAATTCTGACCCTTAGGTTTGCTGTGAACCCATCGTAGTGGCAAACCCCAACCTCATCCCTAAAAAGTCCAGCGCACGGAGCCATCCCGGTATTTTATAAAGCTTCCTTCTCATTAAAGAATGGTTTTGCTGAAATGTTGCTGTCATCCCTAGAAGGAAGAAACACAACTTCCAATTCTTTGTGTATGAAGACAGAACGAGAGAGATTATAACGAGTGCTCGGAGGAATATGAGATTAAAAGCAAATAACAAAGTTATAAAGATGGTATAAAAAGCAGATTTATAGGACTGTCCTGGTCCTGTATTTAGTAGCAAAGCATTTAGCAGTGGAAGGATTCTGAATATTCTTTAGCCACTAGGTACAAAGCAAAGTGAATTTGAACCAACACTTAAAGTACATAATCCTGCAGTTCAATTCATAATACTGTGCACATTATTACTTCAATATTTTACTTATTAATGAAAAAAATCAAGGAGCCTTAAAGTGTTACTAAACCCACAACAGTAAAATCAGTCTGTATATGCAGTAAAGCATGCTTGTTATACTCACTGTGAAACCTAAGGGGTTAATCCTTTGCATTGTGTAAAAAGGCTGTTTGATCCTGTCTTCTCTGATTCTCCCCTTCTTCTATAGCTCCCAATCCATCTGCTGATAGTACAGAGCCCTAGGAGGCACTCTGCACATGCTCAGTTTGGTGTGCATTGCTCGAGAGCTTTTTTTTGGGGGGGGGGAGGGTGCATGTGATTGGCACAGGGCCAATCAGCACTGTCCAGACAGAAGGTCAGGGGCTATGCAGTCTCATAGGACAGCAGACGGGAATGTTAACTCCTCCTACAAGCTTTACCAGTGCTCAGCCGGACACTGATAAAACTGCTCTAACTACTCATGAGAAAAGGTATTTAACAGTTTATGTTTCTAAAATAATTGCATTTCCATATTCTATGTACTGTGGAAGACCGGATATACTGAATGCAGGGTCCTGGGTTTAGTAAGGCCTGGTTCACACCAATGCGTTTTTAGTGCTTTTTTTGCAGAAACACACTACAGTCCATTTAACACTTATTCCTATGGGACATGTTCACATCTATGCTTTTGGGAGCTGCTGCATTTTTGTTGTGCTAATATGTTGTGCATACTAGCACATTATGGCTAAAAAGATCAGGGGGCCTCAAAACATTTCTGGATGTTAAATTTCACCTTAAGATACGCCTCCTAAATTATCAATACCTCAAAAAACAATTAATACTCACAGGGTGACCCCCTTATCGAGGGAAACATATTGGACTCACTACAATGGAGCTTAAAGGCAAAAGTCACCAGCATTGGTCCCCTGCTCTCACTGCTGAGCAATGCCAAAGGCTTGCAATATAAATTGCAGCTACACTATATTGCCAAAAGTATTGGGACGCCGGTCTTTACACGCACATGAACTTTAATGGCATCCCAGTCGTAGTCCGTAGGGTTCAATATTGTGTTGGCCCGCCCCTTGCAGCTAAAACCGCTTCAACTCTTCTGGGAAGGCTGTCCACAAGGTTTAGGAGTGCCTATGGCAGGGGCGGATTGACAACTCATGGGGCCCCCGGGCAATAGGTGATAATGGGGCCCCTGTGTCCTTGCCCACACTCAAAGTACACCCAAAAAAACCTATAAAAGGTACCAGGGGCATTTCATGGGGCCCCCTACTGACCCCAGGCCCTCGGGCAGTGTCCTAGTGCTCAATGGTCAGTCTGCCCCCTGGTCTGTGGGAATGTTTGACCATTCTTCCAGAAGCGCATTTGTGAGGTCAGGCACTGATGTTGGACAGGAAGCCCTGGCTCGCAGTCTTAGCTCTAATTCATCCCAAAGCTGTTCTATTGGGTTGAGGTCAGGGCTCTGTGCAGGCCAGTCAAGTTCCTTCAGCCCAAACTGGCTCATCCATGACTTTATGGACCTTGCTTTGTACACTGGTGCGCAGTCATGTTGGAACACGAAGGGGCCATCCCAAACTGTTCCCACAAAGTTGGGATCATGAAATTGTCCAAAATGTCTTAGTATGACACCTTAAAAGTTCCCTTCACTGGAACTAAGGGGGCTAAGTTCATACTCTGAAAAACAACCCCACACCATAATCCTCCTCCATCAAACGTTACACTTGGCACAATGCAGTCAGGTAAGTAGTATTCTCCTGGCAACCGCCAAACCCAGACACGTCCAATGGATTGCAAAACAGAGAAGCGTGATTGGTCACTCCAGAGAACACGTCTCCATTGCTCTAGTGTCCAGTGGTGGTGTGCTTTACACCACTGCATCCAACGCTTTGCATTGAACTTGGTGATGTAAAGCTTGGATGCAGCTGCTCGGCCAAGGAAACCCATCCCATGAAGCTCTCTAGGCACTGTTGTTGTGCTATTCTGAAGTCCACATGAAGTTTGGAGGTATTTAGCTTTTGATTCTGCCAACAGTTGGTTACTTCTGCGCACTGTGCGCTTCAGCATGTTCTCACCCCGCTCTGTCATTTTATGTGGCCTACCACTTCGTGGCTGAGTTTCTGTTGTTCCCAGTTGCTTTCACTTTGTTATAATACCACTAACAGTTGAGCGTGGAATATTTAGTAACCAGGAAATGTCACGGATGGACTTATTGCACAGGTGGCAACCTATCACAGTACCACGCTTGAATTCACTGAGCTCCTGAGAGCGACCCATTATTTCACAAATGTTTGTAGAAGCAGTCTGCATGCCTAGGTGCTTGATTTTATACACCTGTGGCCATGGAGGTGATGGATCAACTGAATCCAGTGATTTGGAGGGGTGTCCCAATCTCTCTCTATCCATTCAGTCGTGTCCGACTCTTGGCGATTGCATAGGCCTTCACTCTCCACTCTTTCCTGTCTTGCACCTTTCTTATTAGCTGATACATGCTTAGGACAGTGTTCAATTCTATAGCATCCAACCAGCGTGTTTTCGGTCTTCCTCTTTTTCTCCCTCCATACCAAGTAATGTTGCCTTCTCTAAGGAATCAGATCACATCACATGACCAAAATAAGTTAGCTGTAATTTGACTATCTCTCCTTCTAAAGTTATTCCTGGTTTAACTCGCTCTAAAACATCTCTGTTGGTAATCTTTGCTGTCCATTGTATCCTCAATAGCCTTCTCCAGCACCATAATTCGAATGCATCAATCTTCTTTCTATCAGTTCTTTTCATAGCCCAGCTTTCATACCCGTACATTGTTATAGGGAAAACTATCGTATTTACCAGCTTGCATTTGGTGATGAGGCTGATATCCTTACTTTTCCACAATTTTTGCATACTTAGCAATGCGTTTTGATCTAATGCGATCCGTTTTTTTTAATTTCAGGAGCGCATTCTCCTGTTTGGTTTATCATAGATCCTAGAAAACAGAAATCCTGAACACATTCTATTTCCTCTTCATCAATGTATATTTTGGTTGTTTGAGTTTTAGATGTTGTCATGATCTTTGTTTTTTTATGTTAAGACGGAGTCCCATTTTTGTACTCTCCTCCTGTGTTTTTGCTATCAGGTGTTTCAGGTCCTCTAATGTTTCTGCCAGTAAAGTTGTATCATCAGCATATTGAAGGTTATGAATATTCCTACCACCTATCTTCACCCCAGTTTCAGATTCTTCTAGATCTATTTTCCTGATGATGACCTCTGCATACAGATTGAAAAGAAAAGGGGAGAGAATACAACTTTTCGTACACCTTTTCCAGTTTTAAACCACTCAGTGTCACCATATTGTGTCCGAACAGTCGCTTCTTGGTCGATATAAAGTGACCTTATTAACTTTACAAGGTGCATTGGCATTCCCATTTCTTGCAATGCTTTCCATAGCTTGTCATGTTCAACACAGTCGAATGCCTTGGTGTAATCAATGAAACACATGTAGATGCTTTTTTGATATTCATTACATGTTTCCATAATCCAACGTAGATTAGCAATCTGATCACGTGTACCTCGACCTCTTTGGAAACCAGTTTGTGAGTCAGGTAATTCTCTTTCAATGACTGGTCTTAGGCGCTGTTGAATAATTTTTAGCAAGATTTTGCTTATGTGAGGAATCAATGCAATTGTGCAGTAATTGTTGCAATCTCGTGAATCGCCTTTCTTTGGTAGAGGAATAAAAATTGATCTTTTCCACTCTTTTGGCCACTTCATATGCAGGCCATAGATGGGGAGAAAAACGGCAGATTTTCGGCCGATTAACGAACTATCGGTCGGTCTAAAAAACTTACCTGACCACCAATTATTACGAAAATCGGCCGATTAATGAGTAACCTATAACGGGAAATGATGTCATTTTGTGGCCTTTGTGATCCTTTTTCGGAAAACGATCGTTCGTTTTTGACCATCAATGAGGATAAAGTCGGGCGTTTTTTCGAAAATTTTCCAACATCACCGATAATCTGAAAGTCCAAAATACACGAAAAACGGCCGACAAAATCGTCCACTAACGATAAGATAATCGGCCGGTTTTATTTTCGGACGAAAAATCGGCCGTTTTTCTCCCCATCTATGGCCTGCAATAGTCTCCCAGATTTTCTGGCAGATTTCTTTTATCACTATTGATGGAATGGGTTTTAGCAATTCAGCTGGAATATAATCAATTCCAGGAGCTTTGTCGTTTGGTAGCTTCTTCAGTGCCCATACTACGTCCTCATTAAGTATAGCTGGTCAATATGCCTAGAACCACCTGCTCCTAATAAATGAGCCTAATGAAAGAGTTCATAGTGACCCTTGCTATGCCTTTAGTTATCCTATCTAACAGTACCTGTGCACTGAGACTTTTGTAAACTCTTTATTACACTGTAGCAATCCCTCTATAGCAGACATGTCCCACTGATACCAGCAATTGGTTTAATCTATCCAATGACCATGGGGCTTACAGTATTCCTACTGACATCAATGATAGGGATTATTTTATCCCAATGACACCAATGATGGGGTTTATTTTATCCCAATGACACCAATGATGGGGTTTATTTTATCCCAATGACATCAATGATGTGGTTTATTTTATCCCAATGACACCAATGATGGGGTTTATTTTATCCCAATGACACCGATGATGGGGTTTATTTTATCCCAATGACACCAATGATGGGGTTTATTTTATCCCAATGACACCAATGATGGGGTTTATTTTATCCCAATGACACCAATGATGGGGTTTATTTTATCCCAATGACACCGATGATGGGGTTATTTTATCCCAATGACACCAATGATGGGGTTATTTTATCCCAATGACACCAATGATGCGGTTTATTATATCCCAATGACACCAATGATGGGGTTTATTATATCCCAATGACACCAATGATGCGGTTTATTATATCCCAATGACACCAATGATGGGGTTTATTATATCCCAATGACACCAATGATGGGGTTTATTTTACTTCATCTGACACCATTGATAAGCTTATTGTATTTCCACTGACTCAAATGAAGAGGCCTTTTTTATCCCACTGATGTCAACAATGGTCTTATTTTATTTCATCAGCAACAACGAGATTTCTTATTATATCCTACTGACACCAATTAGGGTTTATTTACATTTCTCTGACAACAATAATTGGGGCTTATTTTAAGCAGGGTCGTAGATCTTTTTTGTTTGGGGGGGGGGGGTGCATGCTGCAGAGAATAATGGGTGTAGTAAAATTGCATGAACTTACTCACATATAGTGAAGTCCTTGTACCAACAACATGTAATTACTGTGCCACAATCAGGAGTCTAACAGGCATATACAAACTTCAGCACAATCATTTGTAAAAACAAAGTAACTCTTCTATGACATATACTTTCAACTTCATTAACATAATGACCACTGAGCAACCAGCAACTGTTGTACCATATTAGGAGTGCGGTGGTCAAGAGTATATAGCATGTGATATACAGTCCAGGGTACAGAATGCAGTAGTCAGGAGCATGTCATACACAGTCCAGTGCAGTGCAGTGGTCAGAGGTATGACATTTACAGCCCAGGGTACAGAGTTCAGTGGTCAAGATCATATCATATACAGCCCAGCATACAGAGTGCTTTGGGCAGTAGGATGTCAAATACAGCATGGTGTACAGAGCTCAGTGGGCAGGAACATGTAATATACAGCCAGGTGTACTGAGTTTGATGGCCAGGAATATGTCATAAACAGCCCAGGATACAGAGTGCAATGGTCAGGAGCATATCATATAAAGCACTGCATACAGAGTGCAGTAATCAGGAGTATGTCCTATACAATCCAGCTTATGGAGTGCAGTGGTTAGGAGTATGTTATATATAGCCTAGTAAAAAGAATGCAGTGGCCAGGAGAATGTCATAAATAGTCCAGGGTACAGAGTGCAGTGGTCAGGAGCATATTATACACAACCCAGTGTAAAGCGTTTAATGGCCAGGAGTATGTCTTATACAGTACAGCCTATAGAGTGCTGTGATTAGGAGTATATCACATACAGCCTAGCATACAGACTGCAATGGCCAGTAGAATGTCATAAACAGCCCAGGGTACAGAGTGCAATGGTCAGGAGCATATCATATACAGCACTTCATACAGAGGGCATTAATCAGGAGTATGTCACATACAGTCCAGAGTGCAGTGGTTAGGAGTATTTTATATATAGCGTAGCAAAAAGAATGCAGTGGCCAGGGTAAATAGTCCATGGTACAGAGCGCAATGGCCATGAGTATGTCATAAATAGTACAGGATACAGAGTGCAGTGGTCAGGAGCATATTATATACAACCCAGCATAAATAGTTTATTGGGCAGGAGTATGTCATATACAGTACAGCCTGCATAGTGCCATGATTAGGAGTATTACACACACAACCTAGCATACAGAGTGCAGTGGCCAGGACTATGTTATAAATAGTTCAGTGCAATGGTAAGGAGTATATCATATACAACCCACTGTACAGAATTTAATGGCCAGGAGTATGTCATGTACACCTCGGCGTACAGAGTGCATTGGTCAAGAGGATATCATATACAGCCCAGCATATAGAATTCAGTGGTCAGGTGTATGTCATGCAAAGCCCAGCGTACAGAGTGCGGTGGTCAGGAATATGTAATGTACAGCCCAGGGTACAGAGTGCAGTGGTCATCAATATGTCATATACAGCCCACCCTGCCATCACCCAAAAGAGATGCCACCACATCAGGCCCCCTGGGATTCTCTCCACACAGCACAGCTCATCTTGTGGTCCTTTCTGCTTCTCTTCCCATGCACCACACACTCTTGCTTCCCTCAGCAGATTTATCTCTTTTGGCTCTCTACACCAGTGTTTCTCAACCTTTTGTCAGTCAAGGCACCCTTTGAAATTATGGACAGTCCCAAGGCACCCTTTAAAATTATGGACAGCCTTAAGCCACCCCATTCTAAAATGGGGTGCCTCAAGAATGTCCATAATTTTAAAAGGGCACCCCATTCTAAAATGTGAAAAACTATTCTAAAAGGTTTATATAATGCTGCAACATCCACACATGTAGGACACCCAACATTACAAAGGATTTATCCTTCCAAAGCAGATACACTTTTGCACAATGGTGCTGACTAGTATTTCAATTTTTCTCTTCTCCCTCAGTGCTTCTCCGTCACTGAGCTAATGTGACCCCAGCACTGATGGAGAGGGGCAGGAGGGGGTCAAACTAGGATGCTGCACAGGCAACTGACATCCTCCTTATCAACTGATGATGTCATTGGTTGTCAGGATGCCAATGGCTAGTAGGTTGT